TATATATATATATATATATATATATATATATATATATATATATATATATATATATATATATATATATATATATATATATATAGCACCTGCACAACTATGGCAGAGTTTAGAGCACTGATAAGCTCTCACAGCCTTTAGTGGCCATTTGTACCACACTAATGCCATAGGCCTAATTTCTCTACCAGTCTGTCTAAAAGTAGCAATGTGTTCTGGATAACTTATACACTTTGAAACACAACATTCAACTGGACAGAATATAAAGTGGAAAGTACTGAAACTGTGCATGAGAACAGAAATATACTTTTCTGTGGGAGTCTGCTTTAAAAAGATGTCTTTTTTTTTCCTGCATTGCAACATTTCCTGTTTCAGTTTTTTTTTTTTCTTTTATATGTCCACTTATAGTTTTACAGTAATAGTTTCTGAGGTTTCTGGATACCAAAACCTGTCATAATTCTTTTTTACATGACCATTTCGTTCTCAGTTTATCTCTTAGGATTAAACAGGTTGGTTGGTTACTGTTCTGTTAAGACTGAAATGTAAATGTAAATGTAAATTTCACTCAGGTGAAATGAGTCATATCAGGCTCATCATCAGCTGTGAAACTGGAAATAAATAATGGACTTTGGCAAAGTGGTATGCTTTAATGTCATTGTTATTAATTATTATATGTTGTTATTTAGTCACAATCTTCACAGATGACTATATGGCATTGCCAGATTTTAGAGTAAAGTAAGAGCTTGCTAGATAATGTAATTCAAAATAGCTAACCATGCTCACAAAGCAGAGTGGCTAGTCTAAGATAAATTTGTAGTATATATTAACTAGCCAGCTAACACTAGATAGCTAGAAATGATAAGTAAAAGTCTGTGATAAGTTGTTGTTGTTGTTCTTCTTCTTTCAGCTGATCCCGTTAGGAGTCGCCACAGCGGATCATTGGTCCACATATTTGATTTGGCACATTTTTTACACCGGATGCCCTTCCTGACACAACCCTCCCCAATTTTATCCGGGCTTGGGACCGGCACTGGGAGTTCACTGTCGTGTGCGGTTCCTGGCCAGGAATCGAACCCGGGAAGCAGCACTGAGAGTGCCATGGCTTAACCACTAGTCCTCCAGAGACCCAAAAGTCTGTGATAAGTTAGTTCAGCTAAAAATAAGTGGTAAGCTTACTCACAGATATCCTTGATTTATGCACAGTTTAACTGACAGAGTCACAACTCTCAACTTCTTCACTTTCAATATATTATCAGATTCATTTAAAATCTTAATCTACAACAGGTAACCTTGTATGTTTTACTGATACTGATGTTTATATTAGTTTTTTTTAAATAAAAAAAATAAAGTGTTGCTGCTTGGACTGAATAAATTACTTACGTGCTACATCCAGTGTGAAATCTAGGTAACTTACTGGGGAGTCAACACTTAACAATGACAGTGAAAAGCCACTGCTAATTATTTCTAATTTCCTCATTTGCCTAACACACAATTTCATGTTTCACACTCTCAGCACAGTGATTGTCTGCGCAGAATTGCATTAATCAAGGTCAGCTAATGGTTCGGCTGAGCTCATGCTGGCAGTCACTGGGGGATCTTGGCCTTACAGAAGACCAGTGGCAGTTTTTACCATGACTGGCTGTTTCCTCTGTCACTCCTTAATTGGTTTAACAAACAAGACTTCTGTGCAGTCTCTGGAGCTAACCAAGTCCTAAGCAATGGGTGACTGTGTATACCTAGACACCATATTATCTATAACTGGATAACTGTCCTTTTCCCTAGAACTTGACAAAGGAATGATAATATTAGTACAATACTTACAGAGAATAAACACAAGCGTTATGATTCTTATTTAGAAATGCACTTAAATTACAAACATGCCATTTTATTTCCCACAAATCCATAGACTTCTGGTCTTTGAAGCTTTGTTTCCATATATACAGTGTATAAACTGGAGCAGTTACAGTGTGTTTTTAAATAGTACACTGAATTCTTCTATATCAAAAAGCCAGAACCCCTTTGACAGTTTTGTGTGAATCAAAGCTACACTGCGTCTTGCTTTATAGTCTGCACCAAACATTTCGATAGACAACAAATTTATGTATATTCCTGAATTCTGTTTCAAATAAGAGGCCTGACACTACAGTTCTTGACATTGTAGTGTGGAGATGCAGCAAACTTCTGATTTGAGAGTATGAGCTAGAGCATGCTGAAGAAGCCTGGCAGAGGAGACCTTGCCCAGCTTTGATCTTGGAGACATACAAAATGTATCAGCCACGGAAAAAAAAGCACGCGCGCGCACACACCGAGGTGGAGGGGCTTGAGGCTGTCTTTTAGTAGCCAACAGACAGGAGGAGAATATTTTCTCTAACAGGAGGCTGTATGTGTTTTCCACTGACCTGTTACACATAGGAATTGAATAACCACAGTGCAGTGAACTTAGGTGAAGATAAGAAATCCTTCATCATTTCTGAAATGATGTGCAAGTAGTAGCTCTTTACCCTACAGCCAGAGTTAAGAAAAAAAAACTCTTCTGCCCTATTACCCTGCTCTCTCTATTTCTTGCATAGCTGCTATAGAGATGATAAAAGTAAGCTAGGCAAATTTCAGGTTGCTTATTTGTGGATGAAATTCTCTAAGATTCAAAGCAAAATGAAGCCATAAACATGCATATACTTGAAGAATACCATTAAAAATTGAGCCCACGAGCATGCGATAAATTCAAAATCATAGTTTTGTCATTAAATCAAATCCCATACATCATGGCGGCGATGAATTATGTTGCCTGGAAGAATGGCATAGGCTTGCAGGCTGTAGGAGCATGGATGCTAAACAGGGGTGCAGCAAAAGTCCTGATAGGCTCAACTCCTGTGGATGACACTTAGTAGTTTTACTTACATAAAATACTACCACAATAGTCTCTCCATTAATTTTTAATGCCTCCTTTTTTGCTGGGCCACCTCCTGTCTTTTTCTCCTTTCTCCAATCCCAGCCATTCTGGACTAGCAAAGCTGCTAAAGGAGAAGGCACAGGGTATCAGAGGGATGGGCCTGCAAATATATGTCATTCATACACCATGCGAACAGTTGTCAGTCTGTCAACGAACATACACACACACTAAAACACACAATAAAAAGAAGTCCTGATTCATAAATAGCATTAACTATGCAGCAGAGCAGCCATCTAGCCACAATCGAGAGCAGAAGGAGGGGGAGCAACAGCACACACATGAATTATTGAGCACATGGCTGGAGCACACCAATGACTGGACAGCAGCTCATGCTGCCCTCTGATGAAGCACAATGGCTCCAGCACAGAGGAGGTGAGAGTAGACAATCAGACTTCTCACACTCCAGCAAACACGATTTGAGGTGGGGGTGTGTGCGTGTGGGTCTTTGGGAACCCTATCCATACCAGAACAATTCACAGTGAACAGGTGATCTAACAATATCCTCTTCAGTAGTAGAGTCTTTACTGTAATCTAACAAATATCAAATAAGGAAGCCATAGAAGCACATGAAATACACATGAAACAAGTAAGCTGCACTCCCTGCAGTGCAGCAGAGGGAAAACCACACTCTTTTCAAAATACATCTGTCTAATGTCTTCATAAACTGCGATGCTGTCGCGGAAGATGCAACCAGAGTACCTTTGTTTTACAGCCCACCACTGAAGCACTGCGCTCTGGCTGGAAATGCACTTTTTTTTTTCTCTTCAAAAGCCCTTACTGCACACTTACATGAGACAATATTCAAATGACATCTTTTGAGATGATGATACTATTAGGGAATATTTTCAAAAACTACAATACCTGGGAAATTAGATACACTTGCAGTATTGTCTCCTTCTGAATGTATACGGAAATTGTCAAGCAGCCACTGCTGGATGAATGCAGTAGCTTAAGCAATTACAGCCAGATTTGGGAGAAAAGTCAACGTTTACATCTCTTAGAAGACGTAAGTGATGTCTGGTTCCCAATTACTGGACTAAATAGTAAAATGCTTTCCTTAAAACAAAACTCTCCTAAAATCAAATGTGTTTTGAGAGTGGCCTGTCAGGAAGTGTGGTTTCTCCGCATAACCATAACGTAACATGTAATAACAGTTGCTTTACCAGATGTTTTGCTGTATTGTGAGAGAACACGCTCTCTATCAAATGATTCTGGCAAGACATCTTGCCTTTTTTCTATATAGTTTGTACTCTTTAATTGATAAGGGAAAAAAAACAAAGAGAGGCAACATTAGCCAAACTTTACGCCTCACTTGACGACATCTGTCACTTCTGTTAGAGGCACTGACCAGCAGTACTGCATGGCAACACACACACACACACACACACACACACACACATATTACAGCAAAGTTGCTGCATTTATCCCAAAGCAAGCCCCCTTCTAACACAGCAGTGACAAAAACATGATTACAACAGAAAAGAGAACAAACAAGTGTTTCCACAAAACCACATAAGCCCATGACACTCCTGCATGCACAAAGAGGCAAATAATAGATTAACACACACTTGCACACACTCACGATCTGGTGGTGCTGTCCCTAAGGAAAAGGGAATGGATCCAGTGAGCTGGGTGACACTTACCAGACACGCCGCCATATGTGGTGCGCTTGTCTCGGCCGATGCCAGGCCAGGGAGAGCCGTCTGCCTTCAGTCCCATCAGGCCTGAGACCGTGTTGGTGGCGGTGACGCCATCTGCACCACCTACACCCACGGGGTTCAGAAATTAGCCACGTAGAGGGAGGAGGAGAAGGAGGTGAAAGCTAGCCTACAAAAAAGCTGCAGGGTGTGGGATAATGTAGGGCTTGTGCTGAGCCCCACGATGCCAGGTCATACCATTACACAACTCACATCTGATCACTACTCCTCACTGCGCTTTTATCAACATGTCACCAGTGTGCCTCATGGCTGGAATAACACTTGACCTTTTTAAGTTGTGAAATCTGCTAATGTGAAATCTGTTACCTTTATTGATCAGTTCTCTGGTTAAGAGTAACAAAATGAGTATGGAAAAACAGGCTACCTTCATGTGCAGCCTTGGCAATATCCACAATGTTGGTGACATTAGGGGTCAGCTTGGCAAAGAAAGGGATCGTGACAGCTTGCCGTACCCAGCGGCAGATGTTCCGCACCAGCTCTGGATCCTTTTCAAATTTGGTTGGGGAAACAAACAAACAACAACAACAAAAAGAGATTCACACAGCTGAACTAAATGTGCAAAACACAAAACAGGGCAAGTTAATGTTGGCAGTCTGTTATAGGGTGTGTAAGCGAGATAGAATGAGAGACAGGGAGAGAGAAATCCTCAGCACAGCGATAGAGGGATTATATAAGTGTGAACTGCTGCTCCAGGAGGATTCATGCTTTATTAGACATCTCCTGGCCTGTCAGTCTGGCTGTTTAGAGAAAGGAGAGGCTGCTCAGCGTCTGACGTGCTCACACTCAGCGCAGTTCTGCAGCCTGCTCAAGCATACAACCACGTCTAAATCTACGACATCCAAACCAACAGCAACACAGGGATGGCTGCTGCACGATCACTCACTCAAACATATTTGTGCATCTCTCCCAACACATGATCAGCAACATTTAATACATGTAATGTAGGCAAAGATTTAATAAACCACAATTTAACATTTCTTAGGCATAATATAATGCAATACAGTTTGATTTAGCATAGGAGAGAGAAAGAAACACGCACTGAGGAAGGATTATATATTAACATGTCTTATAAATGGTGTATTCTACACTACCAGTCAAAGGTCTGGACACATCACATAAAAAGGTTTTCTTCATTGTTACCGTTTTCTATTATTTGAGAAAAATAATGAAAATGAAGACATTAACACTATAAAATAACACATATGCAGTGAATTACGCAGTGACCAAGAAAAGTGTTAATCAGATCAAAACTATTTTATGTTGTAAGTTCTTAACAGTATTCCTGATTAAGCTTTTCATAAAGTTCCTAACTAGACACCTGCATTGGCTGCTTCTCTTGAGCTCCAAATAAAAACTACTTGTTTTAGCTCCAAATAAAAACTACTTATTAAAATACTTTCTAACTCAGAAATAAATTTACACACGGGTCAAATTTCAACCATAAGTCTGTATCAAAA